TTTAATCAGGGGCTGAGACTGCAGGAAGTACTCAATAATTCCTCTCCTACCACCTCCCTTCCTGCTGTAGTTTATCTGTTTCCAGAGAGCCTCTTGAGAGTGGCTCAATTTTATTTCAATATGCTGGAAATCAGCTGAAATGAATGCACACTGACAAGTTTTGGTTTGATTTTTTTTTTTTTTTTCCTGGGAGATGATCTGTTTATTCCAGGCACTATTATTTTCCCCTTCTTCCTTTTGCTGTGTCTGTTATGGCTGACTTCCACTTCTTCCCTGCTCTTGAGCCTCAGCAGGAAGGACAACAATTGGTGGTCTGGGAACTACAAACCCCAAAGCCACTGAGCTATGTTTGCACATCTGGAACTGGGGGTTGATTCTGTGCTGGGCAGAGGGGACAGCACTGATAGGGTGATAAATATTTCTCCTTTTGTTGGGACTGCCCACGGAGGAGTTAAAATCTCCTGGAAATTTGGGAAGAGTGGAGGAGATTCCCTGTGTTCAACCTCAGGTCAGGTTTTAGACTAAGGTTTGATATTGTGAACAAGATTTAGACAGTTCAGGATACAAAACATTGGATACCTCAAGGCTTTCCAGAGCTGCTGTAAGAACATGGAAAGGAAATCTTTTCCCATGTCATGCTTCACTTTGACCTCCAACAGATCCTTGGGATCTGATATTTAATGAGTCTTTTGAAGCCTTGTTGCCATGAGCTACAGCAGCTCTGGAAAGCCTTGAGGTATCCAATGTTTTGTTGCAGAAATATCAGGAACATCTTCTAAAATAACTTGTTTAGGGCCAGTAGGGTTTGTGTGCTTCAATGCAGGAGCTTCCTGATTCTAAACTGTGTATTTTGAAGAGGTTTTTAACTGGGTTTTTGTCTGGCAGCTGCATTTACTATGCCATGGCTGGTACATCAGGAAACTTCAGCTTTGCACATGAAAGTATATGGAAAATTATTATTCTCTTAGACTGTAGTAATAAACAAGAAGTGAACTGGATGTTGCTCTGTGTAGGTCTGTATTTATAATTTTTCCAGTTATTATCAATTTGCTGCGGCCAAAAAGGTTTTGGTTCTGAGACTGCAAAACCATCTTGAATTTGCTCCTTTGAATTCTTTTTTGCTGGCTACGAGTTTGTGGCAGAAGTGATCTTACAAAACTCTTGAGTCTGTCATAGTGAGAGCATCACTTGTCCAGGGAAAGGGGAAATTGTCATGAGAGAAAACGAGCCTGAGTTCCCAATTCCACCTGGCAATGGTGGGGTTTGGAATTGCAGGAGGGATTCACTTGTCAGGCCTGATCTCTACGGTAGGAGCTCTATGATGGATTTTGAAGTGGAATGTGGGTGCTATTGGGAAAGTTCTGCAGAGCTGCTGTCCAGTCCTGTGGATTTGGGAAACCTCTGGCCAGGTGGGAGGCAAGAACAGAGGCCAGACTCAACACTGATCATCTTGGGCCTCATCTGTGACTTCTTTCCCCGAGTTTTAACAAAAATCAAAATATTACACAACACCTTATGCCACTCCTCCCTGTCCCCCTCTGCTATTTTAGAATAGTAACTAAATACTCATTATCAGCATCTGACAGACTTTAAATAGATCAGGAACAGGTTTTTACTTGTAAATTCTTTCCCCAATCAACTTTTTAAAAAACCTTATTTTAGTTTTGCAATTTTTAATGCAAATATGAAGGTAAATTATAAACACCCCAGGTAAAACTAACGTTCTGGCCCAGGAGCATCAACAACCTCATCCTTGCTATGTGGACAATTTCCTACATTCCTTAAGTCAAGTTTAATACTTTTTTCCCCCTTCTTACTTTGCTGCAGGTTTTTTGAACAGCAAAATTTCTGGATATGTCAGAAAGCTTTTATGCTATTAAACTACAGCTCAGGATTACAACCTCTACTTTGGGAATAGCGACTTTTAGAAATAAAAAAAAAAGAATTTGATAATTTTAGTTTGTCCTTCAGTCTTTAAAAATGAGAGATGTGCACTCTACATATTGAGTGGGCTTAGGAAAAAAATAGAAATATTTTGAGATGATTGTTGTTTTAGAAGATACCAAAGATTTATTTCAGGTCAGCTCCTATAAGGAGGAATATGTAGAATTACAGAGATAACAGCCTTTGTGAATTGAAAAACATCAAAGCGAAAGAGAGAGAATATTTTTGATATTTAGTGAGAAAATAGTTTCCTTCGTCTCCCTCCTCCAATAGCTGATTTTTTGGCAAAAATAGCACCCAACATGTTTTGACTGAAATGGAAATATTTCAGTCTGGAAAGAAGTTATTGCGATACCTCCCGGGAATTGCTGGTTGGAAACTTGGTGGCTCCAACCTGTTCCCTCTCCTGTGTGACTCCCAGTTCCTGCTGTCCCAGTCCCCCCTTTTGGCCATGGGGATTGTCCTGTTCCCTGGGAAATGTAGTCTGGAAGGAATTTGGAACCCAACACCCCTTTGCTCTGGCGCTTGGGGTAAAGATTTTTCCCTTGCAGACAAACAGCTCCTTCTTGGCAAGAAAGGAGCTGAGCTTCACTTTGGCCATCAAGAGGAATTCCTTCTCTGGAAGGGTGGTCAGGCATTGGGATGGGCTGCCCACAGAGGTGGTGATGTCTCCATCCCTGGAGGTGTCCAAGGAATGCCTGGATGTGGCACTCAGTGCTCTGGTTTAGTTGACAGTGTGTTGATCAGAGGTTGGACTTGACCTTGGAGGTCTCTTCTGATCTTCATGATTCTAGGGAAATGGTTTTTCATCAAGAAATAAAATCCCTAATCAGGTTAGTAATATTTTCCTGCTCTCAGCTCTCCGTTGAAGGAGAGAAAAGTGTTGGTTTGGGTGAGGAGTATCTGGGGTGGGGATGGCTCCTCAGTGTTTGTGTGGGGCTTGGCACAGCGGGGCTGTGACCTTTATGGGGTCCCACTGAGAATTTATGGTAAGAAACCCCCACAGAGATCACGTTCCAAAGATTCATCCTTTGAAAAGGGTCATAGAATCAGTGAGGTTGGAAAACACCTCTAGGATTTCATCCAAGGTTTACCCACTATGGCCAAATCTACCAGGAAAAGACGTGCCACGTGGCCTGGCATCATGCCTTGAGGTGTCCTTCTTTCTCCTCCGCCAAAGCTCCCACTGGGAAACAAAACAAGGCTCTGTCATTTTTTGGGAATTGGATGTTGGTTGTGTGGGGCTAAGAGAGATGAACCCAGGCAGTCTGTGCAGCCTCTCCTCAGGAAGGAGAGCTAAGGACACATCCAGGAGTCACCTCCTCGCAGATGATCTCCTTGGAAGGGAAACAAGGTGGGGATGCAGCTTAGGGCTGTCGTGTTGGTACCATTTTCATTGTGGATCACAGTGAAGGTGGAACAGGCAGCTCAAAACTATGACCTGGGAGGGCTGGGAGATCCCTTAGAACCCAGAGGATTTGAGGGATTCCTGAGGTCTGACCTTCTCCAGAAGCCACCAAAGTTGCCCTTCAGCTAAATCTCCTGGTGGAATTAAGCACTGGGTGTCCACAGGCAGGTCCTCTGAATCCCACCACATATCCTGGCACCCAGTGCTGCCCTGAATATTTGAGGGATACTTCCTTCTCTGCTTCCTCCTGGTCCATATCTCTTTTGTTCCTCATGCACAGCCTGGATTTTAGTTCTGAACAAATGCTGCTTCCAGGGGATGAAACCCCACCTTTGGAATAGGCTTTCCTTGGCAAGCCCCAATTCCTGGGGTTGGGAAAGCTTTTGTGGCCCAACCAGAGCCACATTTTTTGGGTTTGAGCTCCTGGATGAATTTCCCTTCTGTTCCAGCTCGGTTGCTGATGTTTCTGGCAGCCACCACAGCAGTGGTTTGGATGAAAGCTCCCTGCTGGGGTAGGTTTATATGATTGCTATTGTTAAATTTTGTAAATAAGTTTTGAGTTCCATGGTGATAGGTCCTCCTTGAGGGGTGTCACTGGAGGTTCAGGGCTCCTCTCCTGCACGGAAGTGGCCAGGTGAGCCTGTGGATGGTGTTTAAGGAGCTGTCCTTGCTCCAGCACGATGATTTCGGACGCGTGAGGGGGGTTCATCAAAGCCAGCTTGATCCAATTGTTACAGACTCAGAGGGGAAAACTTGTGTTGGAATCAGCACTTTGTGCCGGCTCTGAGCTTGGTGACACTTTGGGGTGTTGTACTACCTGATCTTTACGCATTTTAGCAAGTGTTTGGGTTCAGGAGGAGACTTTTACCCAACCTGAACTGTCTGAGACCCCCTATTCAGCTTCAGCTCTCCCTGCAGATCAGGAATCACCTTTGGGGTTGCCACACTGCCAATGTGTTTGGAGAAACATCTCCAATAAACACTGCCGGGTCTTTGAGGAGAGGGGATTTCCAGCCTTGTTGGTAAAGCATCCCGACTTCAAACCAGATCTGGGGACAAGGGAACAATCCAGGCTTTCCTCCCATTCTGGCTCTGCTGAGGCTCTGGTGTGCATCAAATCTCAGTGATTTATTTATTTCTCTTTTTTGAGCTTGGTCTGTGGTGCAGGGATCCCCCACCCAGGACAACCAGGCTGACAGACAAAAGGAATGGAGACAACTACTATAAGGGGGAAAAAAAAGTAGATCTAAATATTTAATTAATTTCCAAGTCAGCTTGGCAGAAATTATGTTTTTATTTACATGCATGTGCATATTACAAATACATTACAAACAGTATACAGCTTATAAATGCTACAATATGTAAATAGAAATCTTGTTTATTTTGCTAAAACTGCATTTATCTGTTTTACGTGTGGGTATAAAATAGTGGTGGTGGAAAAGGCATGAATTTAAGGGGACTAAAAGGAAAGGGAATAATGGATAAAGTGTGACAGGGCTGCAGCCTCCTGGGATGGATATCTCCATTTCCCTGAAAGCCTAAACAAACTCCATGACACTAATGTGCTGCCTTCATTTATTAATCCTCTGATCTATTTATTAACTGATTGCTTTGCTGACTTGTCTCTCTTTTGTTTCTTCACTTGTAGTAAAGAGTACCCAGTTGTTCCCAGGAGCACAGTGAGACAAAAAGTGTCCTCCAACCACAGCCCCTTCAGCGGCGAGACCAGGGTCCTTTCAGCCTCCTCCAACCTGGGCTCCCAGTACCAGTGTGAGAACGGGGTGTCCAGCACCTCCCAGGACCTGCTGCCTCCTGCCAACCCCTACCCCATCTCCCAGGAGCACGGCCAGATCTACCACTGCACCAAGAGAAAAGGTCAGAGCTTGGCTGCTCCCTGCTTTGTGTTTTCCCTCTCCTAACATGACTGTCAGCATTGTTTCCTGATGTTTCCCCCTTGGACAGCTCCAAGGATAACGGCCTTTGTGGATAGAAAAACATTAAAGTGAAAGAAAGAAAATGTTTTAGATATTCAGTGAGAAAATACTTTCATTTTCTCCCTCCTCCAATAGTTGATTTTTTGGCAAAAATAGCACACAATAAGTGATGCTGGAGGATGAGCAGGGCATGAGGATTGTGGGCAGCTCCCCCAGGTTGGGCTGGGAAACTCTAAAATCCCATTTCTGGTTGGGAATGAGCTGTTTGGGGGGCTGGCAGTGCCTTTCACACACTGTGAATCCACATTTGGAAAGATAGCTGGTGCTGAAGATAAAGATGACTTATCTGCAGCCCCTCAGACAGGGCTAATCTCCAAGTGGAGATACCTTGACAGTTTGCATTTTGCCCAGTTTTCAGCTCGGGGCTGTCTCACAGCTGGGAGACAGTTTTCTGTGTGCAGAAATGCTCAGGCTAATGAAGGGTGCCTGGGATTGAAGCCCATGATATCCATGTTCCTTCCCTTCTGCTGCCACTGATCTGCTTTGACAGAGCTTTAGGGATCAAACTGAGGGCTTTCCACCGACTGCTCGGCTCGTCCCGGTGTGAAGAGCCCCCTGATAGCAATGGGATAATTGTTCTGGGCACGAGTGAGAGGTTTGTGGTCTCTGTCCTCCTCTCCCAAAACAAAGGGAATGCTTCAATGTAGCACCACTTGTAGGACTGAGATAGCAAAAGCTTTAGATCAGTTTTACTTGGAAAAAGAATAGGGGACTTCCAAGGCTGGATAGACGAACTCGTGGGCAAGAGTTGGTCTCTGCCAATCCTGTTGCCTTTCTCAGGATTTACTCCATGGAAAAGCTACCAGAAGGCAGCAAGCACCATGGCATTGAGGGCACCAGGAATTTCTCCCCTCAGCAGATCCCTTCCCGCTTCCCTGCACGGCCCTATCAGTCAGACACATGTCATTATTTTTAGCAACATAACCCCTGGAGCACTGGGATGTGCAGACACGCAGTCTAAGGTAGGGAAGGCTGGGAGGAGGCAGGGCAGCAGTGGAAATCTCTTCCACATCCTTGGTGAATCCCCAGGATATTGTAGGAGCACGTGGGTTGTGTAACAGGTATGCAAAGTAAAAAAAAACCTGAGAAATCCTAATATTTTCCCGAGATTGAGGCAAACAAGGAAAAACAGGTGGCATTTGCTGGCCTTCCCAGCTGAGCAGGTGACTGTGCTCCCACAGAATGTGTCAGAGCAAGGATTGGAAGCGGGGATGCTGGCTTTGAGCTGGCTGTGAGGCAGGGAATGAGGAGGTGCAGTGTGTGCCTGAAGTGTCCCCAGCTCAGAGGTGTGTGGAGTGTTTTACCCTGCGCTGCCATGGCTGTGAGGTGCTGGGCTGCAGCAAAGTCCCGCTGCTGGTGACTGAAGGTCCCTCCTCAGCACTGGGAGCTACAGCTCCTGCGAGTCCTTTCTCAGCTCCTCTGTCCTGGGAGCTGAGCTCTCACCTCTCCTGCTTCCCCTTTATCCAAAACTAACCAAAACAAGCTGGCCCAAATGGCAACCGGCCCTCGGGACAGTCCCTGACTGCTGCGCGTCCCAGCCTCACGGGGCAATTCATCATTCGCCTCCGCATTGTAACGTGATAAGGAATCAACAGAGGTTTCCTTCCAGTTTTGGGATTCCCGCTAAGTGGTGTCTCCATGGGTGGTTTCCCTCAATCCCCCAATTATCTCACTTCCTCTTATTGTCACGAAAGACACGGCTATCTGCCCTGGAATAAAGGCCCCTCTCGGCCTGCGTGGCCCTCGCCACAGCGCAGGGACAGGCCCAGGGAGGCCTTGTCTGCAGGCCCGATGGCCTCTCCTTATCTCTGCCACGGCCTGAGTGGCACAAGCAGTTAAGGGCCTTTTATCAAAGCCGCCAAACGCTTTAATCAAAGAGGAGCAGTGTCCTGCCCGATACCAGCGGCTTCTTCCGCGGGGCTGGCTGTCCCAGGAGCCTGAGCCTCTGCCTTCCTCCCTGCGCCTTTTCTCTCCCCTCCCCGTGCCTTTGGTAAATCGAAAACAGCCACCAGGGCTTAGAGGACAGAAACACAAAGTTAATGGGAACCAGAGAGCCAGCCTGAGCTGCCAAGCAGCTCTTTGCAAAGTGAAATTAATTAAAATTAAAAAAAAAATAATTCACTAGAGATGAGCGATTCGGGTCGGATAAATCAGAGTGTGATCCAAGGTTTCATGTCACTGAGCACGGAACTTCCTTCCAGCACCAGCAACGATCTTTGTTGGACATGGGAAAATAATCCTATGTATGATATTCCTCTTTTTTTTTTTTTGCTGCTCCAGTCTCTCTTTTCTGAGTTTTCTCTCATAGTTCTCCTGCTTTCTTACATTTCTGCTTTACAGTTATCAAGCCTCACCACCTCAGAAAACTCAAAAGCAAGAGTTTGTTTGTTTCTACTGTCCCTCTGTCCATTTTGTGGACTGGAAATCTTATTGATTGCATTGGATTATCCACTCCCCAAGCATTGACTCCTCCTCAGGCAGTTTAGGCTTTATCTCAAGCAGATTATTTCCTTTCCCAAGGCTGTGGTTATGGATAAGTGCTCTTGGGGGCAGAGGGCAGTTCAGCTGGGTTTGAGACCAGCTGCTGTCTGCATCTTCTGGGTGAATCCCACCACTGTTTTCCAAGCCAGTCTCCTTCCAGCTTTGACATCTCCTGATGTTTCTCTGCACCCTCTTCAATCAGAGCCAAGCCTTGGGTTAGGCTGAATTAGAGACAGGTCTGTGGTCACCCAGCTCAAAGGAACCTTGTTCAACTTCTGCTTTCCTGGTGACCTAAAACAAGGATTATTCTCTGAGGTTGGCAGTGTTGTTTTTAGCTGTCAAGGCAAGATGGATTCACTGTGGAGATCTGATATGGAATTGCATTAGGGGAGAGCAGCAGGGCTGCCAGGGGATGTTATCTCTGAAGGCTCCCCTGCTTCAGGGAGGTGATGTTCTCCTGGCTGAGGAAGGACGGACACATCCCAGAGCTCCTAATCTGGTAATTCCTGGTGTGCAGGTGGGAGGGCAGGGTCACAGCATTGGGAATGACCCCGGTGTGCTGCAATGGGGTCACTCTTCCAGGAATGGGGAATGGCAAGGATCATCCTGCCTTGTATGCAAGCTCCACACTGGGATTGCTGATGGCATGTGACAGTCACTGGTCTTGAGAGGATGGACTACCTCTAACCCTGGATCTCATCAAGGAGTGGTCTCAGCTCTTGATGTGAATTTTTAGGCTGACACAAAGAGCAGTTGGAGTTTTGTCTTTCTTCTGGTTGCTCTCCACTTCTCCCTCTCCCATTGTTGTGCTTGGAGAAGCCCAAAAGGCCTCACCAGCAGGCAGCTTGCCTTGTGTCTTTCATTTAGCCCCACATCCCAGTTAGGATACTGGGCCTTGTTTTCCCTTGTATTATCTTCTCTCTCAGATATCCTGTGGACTAAATAGTCATCCCTCTAAACCTCTGCTCCCTCCCAGCCTTACACAATCCCAACCACTTGGCAGATTTCTGGGATGCTTGTGATCCTGAACAGGAGGCAACTGGAACAGCCTCTCCCTGGGGAGGTTATAAAAGTTGTCAAGTTGGCACTCTGAGGGAGAAGAGGGATGTGGCAGAACCCACTGGCTCCAACCAGCGAGGGCCGTGTCCTTCAGCCCCCTAATTTGGACATAATCCTGGGGAGGGATTTATCTTTCATCTCCTTCCTGCTCTGATGAGGTCAGTGCTGACACAGCAATGCCTTTCTACCTTCTCCTCAAGAACAGGCACTGTCAGGTTGGGCAGACCTCTTTATTGACTGAACCAACTTCTCCCACATCTCACCCAGCTTTGTTCTTTCACTTGAAGAATCTGCAGGACAAAATTCAGGCATGGGATGTCTCCCTGGAGGACACACTGCTCATGCTGCTGATGTTTGAGATGCAATGAGTTGGCCAAGGCTCGGGCTGTGCTGCAGCTGGAGAGACGCAGTGGAGCCCAGAGCAGGGTGGCTGTGGGACACTGAGGGTGAGGAAGGGACTCCCTGCGTGGACAGGAGGTGTTCAGGGAGCTCTTTCTGTGCAGCCACACCCTTGTGGCACTGTAGTTTCATACCCCTAATGAGGCAAGGCTGAGGGAGCTGGGTGAGTCTTGGCTAAGAGGGACCCCATCAGTGTCTGTCAGTGTCTGCAGGGAGGTGCCAGGGGATGGACCAGGCTCTGCTCCATGGTGTCCAGCAACAGGACAACAGGCAGGAAATGCCTGGGAAATCCCACCTGAACATGAGGAAGGACTTCTTTCCTGTGGCCAAGCACCAGTGTGACTGCCCAGGAGGATGTGGAGTCTCCTCACTGGAGATATTCCGGAATTTTCTGGACACAATCCTGTGCCCTGTGCTGTGGGCTGATCCTGCTGGAGCAGGGAGGTTGGAAAGCTAACCCACTGTGGTCCCTTCCAACCTGACCCATTCTCTGATCCCCCTCTCCTGTCAGAGGTGTCTTTTGATCCTCTGCAGGGAGTGTAGGCAATTTGCTGCCTGTGGAAAAGGTTCCAGTTTTTGGGGAATTTTTTTTGGATTGTCCCTGTCCCACAGCCGTGTTGTGTTCCATAAAACACAGCCATATCACAAACAGTGCAATAGGTGGAATGGCTGGTGTGTCTTAGGTTCCATGTCCTAGGATTTAGGGCTTATTTGTCCTTTAGAGATGTTCATCTTGATGGAATCTGCCTTGTTCTTTTCTTCTTGGACAACCTTTGTCACTCTTGCACCCTGGTAGTGGCTCTTCAGGCTCGTGCCTGATTCATGCTGGAATCCATGCTGGATAAAACAACAGAGTTAGTGATAATCACCCATTGTGTCTCCCTCACAAAGTCAGGCTGAACCTCCTGTAATGCCCTGGAAGTGTGGGTGAGCTCTGAAAACCAAACAAGTTGTGTCCCAGTCTTCATTGTCTTCCATCCTGGGGAGCTGAGTGTCATGTGTGGGAAAGGAGCTCTCCTGATTTACACCAGGGGGGAGAGGGAGGCCCTGTGCACCCTGAAGTCCAGAGGCTTTCCATGTTTGCATTTCATTCTACATGGCCTGGATCTTGGAATTGGGAAAATTCCATTTTAAAAGTCATTTGCGTGGTATTTACAACCCAGCTGGAAGTAGTAAATACCGGAAATCTTGGAAGCGCTCGTGCTCTCGCTCAAGCTCCTTCGTTAGATAGATCATCAAATTCCTTGTGAGTGAGCCAGTTTCCACCCCATTCTTCAGGCTCCGTTTTCCTTGGATTCACGTCGGAGCAGCTTCTCCCTGGTGCTGGCAGCTCCCCCTGCTTGGCAACACCTCCTGATTTTTGAGGCTTGTGCAGCATCAAGGGGCTGCTCCCTAGGGCTGGTCACCAGCCTTGGCCTCCAAGAATAGCACCAGCAGTGGAGGATGGTCAGGATATCTCCCAGGATAGCCAACAACTCCCCTGAGGACTCAGTGGCACCTGGAAAAGGACAAGGAGCTGGGATCAGGGAATAGGCAGTTACATACCTCCTATGTCCTGCTTACATTGCTAGGAGGAGGTAAGAGGTCCTTCAGGGACAGGATTATGGCCCTGAGCTGCACTGTCCAGGCTCCAGAGCCCGTGAGAATGAATTGAAACCTCAGCCTTTGGCCTTGCATGAGAGACCTGTCTGTCTTGTGCTCCTTTTGTCATTGAAGATGTCCCCTGTCCACCCTAAAGCTGCTCCAGACACCCTGGGGATGCCCTCCAGCTGCTCTGTGCTGGCTCTGATCTCCTCTGGGAGGAGTGGTGGGAGCAGAAGCTGTTAGAGCAGGCTGGAATCCTTTGTTAGTGCCCAGGTCCTGTTTGGAGATGGATAGAAGGTCCTTAGACACCTTAAAATCCCTTTCCACATAAAACATCTGCGAACCTGGCTCTAGAGGGACCAGCAGAGTGATCCTGAGAGCTTACAGAAGGACAGAGGGCACTTCTGGGGTTTCCACTGAAACCATGGTTGACTTTGTTTTTTTCTCTTCACCTGTGATGGATTCTGGAAGTGGTTCTGTGACACTGCAGCTCTGCCCAGCTGGGCTGTGGAGGGCAGTGAAATGTCTCAGCTAAATGGAAAAATCAGCAAGCTCAGGTTGTAAGTCAGGCAGTTTTACACCACGGAAAAACAGAGTTTGACTGGTTTGTGTTGTATATTTAAAAAAATCAAAATAAAATAAACAGTCAAACCCCAAGCCAATGATTTCTGGTGCCAGCAGAGTGATGCGGTTTAATGCTGAAAACTTTATTAGCAGAACAATGCTGCATTTTACAAGACATTGTTTTTCCACCCCAGTGTTCTTATTACTCAGCGGTGGGTCAGGAATCCAAACTTTTTACACTGTCCATAAAAGCTCAGGCTGTTCTTCCAGATGTACCTCCTGTCATGGAGCTGAGATCAGGAGAGAGGTTAGACCTGTGCCTACAGCTTTTGGCTTTCAGGGGACTCCATCCTTTCCCTTGCTCCTACGTACACTGGACCTGAGCTGGATTATGGAGGGTGACACATTCCTGCATCTCCCTGCTCATTGTTTCAGCTGGTTTTAAAAATGGGATGGAATTGCTCATTTATCTCATCCTGTTTCCCACCCCAATTTACAGGGAAGGCAGAGGAGAAACTTGGTTATCAGGGCTCTGCATTGCTGAGGTGAAGGAGCCAGGCTTTGATGTTGTCAGGAAGAAAGAAATGGGCCTGTGGCTTTGCAGCTGAATTTATGCTATTACAGAGCCAAAGGCCACTGTGGGGAATGTCCCCACATTCAGTACCCTCAGTACCTGCTCTTTGTGGGATTGTTGGACCAGGATGCACAGCAGCAGTTGTTCCAGCTGGACTTGGAAGCCCCCTGGGTGGGAATAACAGGTTATTTTACATGCAGGGAGAGGGTGCAGCTTCCAGAAGTGCCCTTGTGGCTGTTTAGAACAATAAGAGTTATGTGCATGTGTGTGTTTAGAAGAAACAAAAGATGCCTGCACTGCCCACTTGCCCCTCCTGAAGGTGTGACATGAGCATTCCCCTCGGAGCAGCCTGGCAGCAACACCTCTGTGCCTCTTGTGGGGCAGATACTCTGATACTCCTCCTTTCTGTGCAACTCTTCGGGGTTTGTTTCCCCGCTGTATTTTGGGGGCTCAAAACATGCTGGTTGAGAAAAATAGTAAAGGGCAACTTGTTCCAAATTTCTTTCAAATCTGACCCCTGTTCAAAGGGTGCAGCCAGGAGAGTTCTAACCAAGTGAGATGTTTTCCTGCCTGCTCCAGAAATCTTGTTTTTGAGGCAGCAGCAAAATTAATCCATGTCAGAGCAGCTCCCCTTCCCTTGCCACGCTGTCCTTAAAATCTCTTGGTGAAGTGCTCATCCCTGGGAATTTTGCCATCCATTCCAGCAGAGCTGGATTTCATTTGATGACCCTGTGAATGAATAAATAAAAGCACATTCATTTATTCATTTGGTCTCACCCTGGAGAATTCACCTAAATTGTTTATCTCCTTCCCTCTGCTGGCCTGGGATGCTGCAGGAAACAAAGGGCTCTGCAAGATGTGCCTCCTTTGTTCCCCTTGGCTCCAGCACACGGCCCTGTGTGGATTTATGTGCCCACAGCCCTGTGTGGATTTATGTGCTCAGCTGCCTTGGCACAGCTGAAGGTTGGGGCTGTCAAACTCCAAATCTGATTGTCCCAACCATGCCATCCCTGGTGCTCTCTTGGGAGGATTTTTATTGTGATCTCCTTTTCTTTTGGTCTTTTTTTATCATGGAAATGTTTTGTAGTAAAGGATTTGAGTTGACATCATCAGCTCTGAACCTCCTGGGGGGAAATGGGGACCCTGGTAGGTGCAGAGGTCACAGGTAGATGTTATTCCTCAGGTAAAAGTGGCAGCAGGAAGAAGATGGGGACCATATGGGGGGATCACCAAGCAAGATAAACCTCAGGATCCCTCCAGCATCTCGATTTTCCTCCCAGAGCTCCTGGCTAATCCCTTCTCCACTCCAGCAGAGAGGGCCAAGCGCAAGGCTCGGTTTCCATGGGACAGACTGAGATCATTTCCAGGGAAGTGTCAGATTGTCCTCGGTAACACCAGGGCTGCAGAGAGGGAGGCTCAGCTGCGGCCTCACTCTCCTTGGTGGCTACCGGCACTTTTCTCTCCCTACAGATGAGGAATGTTCCACCACCGAGCATCCCTACAAGAAGCCCTACATGGAAACCTCTCCAGCAGACGAGGACCCTTTCTACAGGTCCAGTTACCCTCAGCAGCAGGGACTGAACACGTCGTACAGGACTGAGTCGGCGCAGCGCCAGGCCTGCATGTACGCCAGCTCGGCGCCGCCCACGGAGCCCGTGCCCAGCCTGGAGGACATCAGCTGTAACACATGGCCCAGCGTGCCCTCGTACAGCAGTTGCACAGTGTCTGCCATGCAGCCCATGGACAGGTTACCCTACCAGCATTTCTCTGCCCACTTCACCTCGGGGCCGCTCATGCCTCGCCTGGGCAGCGTGGCCAACCACACGTCGCCCCAGATCGCAGACACCCACAGCATGTTCCAGCACCAAAGCTCCCACCAGCCCATCGTGAGGCAGTGTGGACCTCAAACGGGCATCCAGTCCCCTCCCAGCAGCCTCCAGCCCGCGGAATTCCTGTATTCCCACGGCGTGCCTCGAACCCTGTCGCCCCACCAGTACCACTCTGTGCACGGCGTGGGGATGGTGCCAGAGTGGAGCGAGAACAGCTAACCAGGGGGGCAGGGAAGTGCCAGAGCCACGGGGAAATCCGAGAAAACGGGAGAAGGAAAAGGAAAAGAATCCCCCTGTTGATAACAAAGCGTTTTGCAAGACTCCTTGAAGTGAATGTTCACCGCTAGCACTCGAGAGGGATGGACACTGACTGAAAGCACGGCTGGAAGTCATCGGCCTCGGTGTGACTTGCCCTGACCCCCCTTTCGTTTTCTTTTGTTTCAAAAGAAAAGCCAACAGCCCAGCACACTTCTGT